ATGCACAAAGATGGAAAGATTTGGCAATACCTACAATGAAGGAATGGTTGGTGAAGATGATAGAACTTGCTGAGATGGCCAAATTGACCTGTCTGAGTACAGAAAAGACAATATGTACATTTATTGCTGACTAGAAACCCCTTATGGACTTTTTGTGTAAAACTGAAAAAAAAATGAACTTATGATCTATGGTTTTGATGATCAGATAAAATCGATTATAGAAAGAAGAGAGTCATGATGTAACTGTAGAGAAAGAGGTAAATTTACAATTATAACCGCTGTAAAGATGTAAGATCAGAAGCCACTTCTTGATATCTTTTCTCTTTCTTTTCTCTTTTTCTTCTACCTTTTTTCTTTTGTTTTTTTCTTGCACTTTAGCTTTCTCTTTTATTTTTTACTTTTTCCTTTTTCCTTTTTCTTTCTTATTCTATTTTAGTTCGTATTCATTTTTACTCTTGTATTTAAAACTTTCAATAAAATTATATTTTTAAAAAAGGTTCTGATTCTATAGCAAACCCTCAAAGAATCTTCCCTGAAACAGGCCAGACTAAGTCTTTAGCTTCATTTCTGCTTCATCTTAGCCTCCACTCTCACCTTCCACTATTACAGAGTGATAGGAATGGGAGCCACTGGGTTTTGAAATCCTGGTAATCTATTTTAAGGAGAAAAGGCTATTCTCTTATCTTTCGGCATAAAGCTTGAAGTAAATAAACAAGTAACGAAAAGTTATATTTCTGCCCAACTAATCTACTGATATACTTAGAGCAGCTTGGAAGCTTGGATTCTAAAGTCCAAATCACCACATGCATTCAGTCTTAGACTGGTTTATTATTAGCTAACATGATTAAAGGTCAGTTAATGGTGTGATTCTGCAAGCTGACTCAAGACATTAGTCATGATTTTGGGTGGAGGGGAGGTAACAATTTTGCAAGACCACTTCTTCCCCCGCTAAAAAAAAAGCAGCTGTTAAAACAATGCTCATATGCTGCTATGAAATGAAAACAATGAAATGATTTGAATAGAAATTATGGGGGGGGGGTTCCAGTTTGAAGATGGTGAAAGTATCTGTAAAAAAAAGAATTATTCTTTTGCCGAACCTTAGCTACATATGACATGGCAATGAGTTTGGTGTGCAATAACTTTTATGGCTATAATCTGACATTTGTCTGAATCAAATGAGACGATGTGGTCAAAAGCATCCACAAAATTCCTATTTTTTCCCTGCATATTATGAATAGCCCCTGCTAAAACACAAATGCCCCTCCTGAGTTTGGGAGTTGATTTCCTCTGAGGGATTTTCCAAGCAGAATTTCTTCCAGCTCCTGTAGAATTTATTCTCATCAAACTACTGTCAATTCCTTCACCAGCAGGGGGATCTCTATGGGGTGATTTCATTCCCTCCCTCCTTGGTCATCAAAAAAGAGGGGGGGGGAACCTGCCCCCAATTGTGAATTTTTTTACAGCTTTTACTTATATCATTAGGAAACAGTATACAGACATATGAATAATATAACACGGGTGCAATGATAACATCAAATGGTATTGATCTCAATGGGGATGATTCCCCCAGTATCTTGCTTAAACAATCCCACTCTCCCCACTCCCTTGGCAAATAAGCTTACTGTAATTATCTTGGCCATTGGAATTTAGTAATTCTTCTCTCCCTCTCTTCCAGGCTCCTTCCTTTAGGGCTAGGTCTCCGGTCTGCTTCTCTCAGCATCTCCTCCTTTGGCCCCCCAAACCATGGTTCACCCCCCAGCCGAATTCCCTGGCCAATTCTCCCAGAAAGGAAACTTCCAGCCCCTCGGGCTCTACCTGAGCTGAACTGTCTACCAATGCCCCAGAATCCTTTGCAGGAAGTCTTGTGCCTTTTCTCCTTTACCTCTTACTCACAAGTAGTCTTTCTGCCAACAGAAGGAAGATTTCCCACTCTGCCTTATCCAAACTCCACTCCTCTGTCTCCCTCTGTCCCTCTCCCACATCTAAAGTTGGACCCTTATATATTTCTGACCTAGCACTCTGTCTTCTCCTTGAGCTATGTTTGTTTTGTTCAATTCAGTCCCCCATTATCTTTAGGGACCAGTTAAACTATAACTGGGGGGGGGGGGGTCAGGCCTAGGTAAAGCTTCCTCTCTCTCTCTCTCCTCAAATTATGTTTCTCTATTTACTTGTTATCTCCATAGATCCCATTTTCTGGATTTACCTAGAAATAAATTGGTGTG